CTCTACCACTTGAGCCACAGCGCCACTTCTGGCTTTTTTCTTTTTGCTTATATGGTACTGAGGAATGGAACCCAGGGCCTCAGGCATGCAAGGCAAGCGCTCTACCATTGAGCTACCTTCCCAGCCCTGGAAATGGAGTATGGTTCAAGTGGTACAGTGCTAACTAGACTTGATCTAAAAAGCTCAAGGATAATGCCCAGGCTCTAAGTTGAAGTACTGTCCCTGAGCTTCTTTTGCTCAAGGCTAGTGCTCCACCACATGATCTACAACTCCACTTCTGGCTTTTTCTGTTTATGTGGAACGGAGGAATCAAACCGGGGGCTTTGTGCATGTAAGCAAGCACTCTACCACTAAGCCACGTTCCCAGACCCTCCCCCCCTTTTTTTAAGTAGTCTAACTTATTAAATACCTTGGATGCATGTTCTAAATACTGTTTTCCTGAAGACATCTGAGTTAGCAGACGAAATTTGTTGTCCTGAAGTACATAGATGCCCTGGTTTCAAAAAACAATACGAATATATATAAATATCCAAAGTTAGTATAACCTATAATCCCTAAAAAGTATCTTATTCCCTATAAAACAATTTAAATGTTCTAAGACATAAGTCATGAGTTCAATGTTTGATAACATTAATATATTTACTGGATAAATCTATACATTGAAAATTAAAAGATGAGTGAAACAGTCCCTCTTAAAGAACTTAGAAAACCAAGTGTTGTGGTATATACCTATAATACTAGCACTCCAGAGGCTGAGGCAGGAGGATGTAAAAGGGATCTCAAAGATGTACTTCAGTGGTATGGAATCTCAGGGTTTTATCCCTGACAGCATTGAAAACAAGAATGAGCCAAAAACAACACAGAACCAAGAATAGTGGCTCAAGCCTATAATCCTAGCTACTTGGGAGGAAGAGACTGGGGATCATAGTTTAAGAACAGACTAGGCAAAAAGAATTTTGTGAAACTCCATCTCAACCAATGGCTGTGCACAGAAGTATATACCTGTAATCCCCACAGACACAACTAAGCACAACTAGGCTGGTCATAGACCAGTCCAGCTTAGGCATAAGAAGCAAGACTCTGGCTGGGAAGGTGGCTCAGTGGTAGAGCGCTTGCCTTGCATGCATGAGGCCCTCGGTTCGATTCCTCAGCACCACATAAGCAGGGGAAAAAAAGCCATAAGTGGTACTGTGGCTCAAGTGGTAGAGCGCTAGCCTTGCGCTGAAGAGCTTGAGGGACAGCGCCAAGGCCCAGAGTTCGGGCCCCATGACCGGACCAAAAAAAAAAAAAAAAGAAGCAAGACGCTAGACTGAAAATTACCAATGCAAAGAGGGGCTGGAGACATGGCTCAAGTGGTACTATATCTACCTACTAAGCTTGAGGACTTGAGCTTAATGAGGACCATGATAATACAAAAGTCAGCAAATGGAGTATCTTCTTCCTGTTATCACTTTAACTAAGTCCTAAAAGCCCCATGCCAGTGGCTCATGCCTGTAATCCTGGTACTCGGGAGGGTGAGATCTGAGGATTACAGTTCAAGTCAGCTAGTTTCAGGAAAGTCCTTAACATTCCAGCAAAAAGCCTGAGGTGAAGCCATGGCTCAAGAAGTAGAGTGCAGTCCTGAGCAAAAGAGCTAAGGTGCAGCCCCCAGGCCCTGAGTTCAAGCCCCAATACTGATACACAATAAAAAGTTAAGTCTGCTGGGCGCCAGTGGCTCACACCTGTAATCCTAGCTACTCAGGAAGCTGAGATCTGAGGATCGAGGTTCAAAGCCAACCTGGGCAGCAAAGTCCATGAGACTCTTATCTCCAATAAAACACTAAAAAACTGGAAGTGGCGCTGTGGCTCAAACGGTAGAGTGCTCTCCTTGAGCTGAAGAGCACAGGGACAGCGCCCAAGCCGAGAGTTCAAGCCCCACGGCTGACCAAAAAAAAAAAGTTAAGTCCTAGCCAGGTGCTGGTGGCTCATGCCTGGAATCCTAACTACTCAGGAGGCTGAGATCTAAGGATCACAGTTAGAAGACAGCACGGGCAGGAAAGTCCCTAAGACTTTTTTTTTTTATGTCGGTTGTGGGACTTGAACTCTGGGCCTAGTCACTGTCCCTCAACTCTTCAGCTCAAGGCTAGTACTCTACCACTTGAGCCACAGAGCCACTTCTGATTTTCTGGTGGTTTTATTGGAGCTTCACAGACTTTC